ACCAAAACAGCAGGCTTCGGCAGATAAAAATGAGTGCTTTACCACCCATTTCAACAACATATCAAGTTTAAATAACAACAGTTTTACAAAAACAGAGATTCATACGAAATTTAAATAGACTAACTGGATTGACAATGGATCTCTGAAAATGAAGTTTGAAGAAATCAGATGATTGCAGTTTCGCAAAAGAGATTCCTTGAACCAAGATGGCCGTTTACTGTGCAAGAACCAAGATAGCCGTTAGGATCTGTGCATCCAAGAACGAAGATGGTCGTTTTCCATTCATTAACATGTCAAAAAACCAGAAAAAAAAATGATCAAAGAATTCAGAGGAAAAGGAATAAGCAGTATTGAAGAAAATTTGAAGGAAAGAACGGAATCAGTAATAGCAACCATTCATCCAATTTCTTGGAGGTTGGAAGTAATATGAGGTTCTATACGGCTGGTTTTTTGAAGTAATCTGAAGAGGGTTTGAATGAGCAAAAATGTTTTGACAGATACTTTGAATAAGCAGAAAGGTTTCTCAGAGTTGGAGGCTTGTTTGAAATGCATCTCATTCTCCATTTTTTTAGGAACTGATAAAGAGTGGGAGCTTCTCACTCCTCACTTCTCAAAGCTTCCCACTTGTCAGATATGGAAAGTTTAATGCAGTGGGTTTGAACTCATTCTCCAATTTTTTATGAATTAATAGAGAGTGGGAGCTTCCCATTCCTCACTTTTCAAAGCTTCCCACTTGTAACGCATGGAAACTTTAATGCAGTGGGTTTGAATTAGTGGTCTCTCATTTTAAAAGTAGAGGTGTTTAAATAGAAGAGAGCCACATGTCAGACTGGGGATGCCATTAGCTTGATTTCGAGATATATATATATATATATATATATATATATATATATATTAGAGGTTTTTATAATTTATGTTTTTGTTACATATTTATATTATTTTTACATTTTTTATTTTCTACCATCTATAAAATTTCCTGTATTTTTTATTTATTTTCAGTTTTCTATGCTTTTACATAATTTTGGTGAAAGTAGTAGTAATTATTACTAAAAATAAATTTTAAATTAAGTAATAATATTTTATTATTGAAAATAATAATATTATGAGTAATATTATAAATTCAGGCTTATTGTAACAAATATTCAGTATTATTATATTATAATATTTAATTATTCAGTATAATAATTAATATTAGTATTACTGAAAATAAGTATAAAATGTCAATATTCAATAATCATTACTTATTTTAAATGTTTATAAATATTGAAATTTTGGTTAATGAAATTATTTGTAATTTAATAAATTACTATAAATACAATTAAATTAATGTATTTATTAATTAACAGTAATTATTTTTAAAATGTAATAAATTACATTTAATGATAATTATTTTTACGAAAGCACTTTTACAAAAGTACTTTTACACGAAAATGATTTTACAAAAAAACTTTTACGGAAGTACTTTTATAAAAGTGCTTTTATGGAAGTACTTTTATAAAAGTGATTTTACGAAAGCACTTTATGGAAGTACTTTTATAAAAGCATTTTACAAAAGTACTTTTATAAAAGCATTTTACAAAAGCACTAAAAACACTTTTACAAAATCACTTTTAAAAAAGAACTTTTACGAAAGTAATTTTATAAAGGCATAGAAAAGTGCTTTTATAAAAGTATTTTTACGAAAGCATTTTTACAAAAGTACTTCTACGAAAGTACTTAAGTACTTCTACAAAAGTACTTTTATAAAATCACTTCTATGGAAGTATTTTTATAAAAGTACTTTTATGAAAGTACTTTCATTAAAGTACTTTAAAAACACTTTTACAAAATTACTTTTATCAAAGTATTTTTATGAAAGCACTTTTACAAAAGTGCTTTTTCAATGCCATAATGGTATATTTTTGTAATTTTCAGATTTCTTCATTTTAATATATTTTTTGTAATTTTTATATGTTCTGTTTTTTATATATAATTTTTTATATTTCTTTCGGTTTGGATTGGATCCAATACAGTCCATTTATATTTCAATGGATTGGATTGGATTTGGACTGGATTAGGTCCAATCCATTTGTAAGTGGGCTCACATTGGGATGGATCGGATTGGACCAAATCCAGTCCAATTGACATCTCTAATAACATTGATTTCAAAATAGTTCCCAATTTAACTTCGAAACAATATGAGAAAATCTATGATGCCAAAAAGATATTGATATGCTAAGAGTTTTGACCAATCAAAACCCACCCATGAATTTTGATAAATAATACATATGATTCCAAATGACTGGTCATAAGTTTTTCAAATATCATATCTTTTCCATATCATAGTTGAAGCCATCATTAATATCTCCCAACAAACCACCTATAACAAATTAGGAAGCATCATTCTAAGTGCTTAAAGACTAAAAAAGACCCCCAGTATTTGTGGTCGCATCTGCATCACATCTAGTACAAACTCTTGAAAACACAAATCTCTGGATTTCTCAAATCTCAAATTTATCATGAGATATGGAGGACAATTATTCGAAATATGGGAAATAATTTACTAAAGTGATTTAAACTTATTATTAAAGACTAGGGTTGTTCACAAATAAATCTGAACTGACCAAACTGACTAACCCGGCTCGATTCAACCTGAGTTGGCCGATTTTTCTTCATTAGCGGTCGGTTTCGGGTTGCAAAAATGAACAAACTGATAATTTGGTTAGGTTTCGGTTTTGTGAAAACCGAAACCGAACTGAACCTAACCGAGTTGTGTGAAAAAATATATATTCTAAAAAAAATATCTGCTAAATATAGATATTTTAGTTTTAAATAATAAATATATATTCTGAAATATATCAGATATATATTTTCGAAATATATATTTCCAAAAATTAGAAAATATATATTTCGATATATTTGTATATATGTTTTAGTTTTAAATATATATTTCTAGAAAATATATTCTAAAATATTATATATAATATTAGCACTTTGACTTCATGTGCATTGTGCAAGTTTGGAGTTGGTTGAAACCCAACCGACCCAAACCATCCCAAACTAACTCAAACCGGCCAGGTCTGTTTTACTTAATAGAGGGTCGGTTTCGGTTTGGTCTATAGGTAATCCGACTAGGTCGAATCAGTTGAAAAAACACTACTAAACCGACCCAACCCGACCTGTGAACAACCCTATTAAAGACAATCTTATTCCTAGCATTTTAGATGTAATATAAAGCAATCATCACATTGCAGGAAAAGATAAATTATCTTTATTTACCTTAAAAGAATATCTTTATGCTTTTTATTTTAAATTTACTCATAGCAAAATTTAGAAAATCAACCACAAAAAAAAAAGATTATCATTAAAAACAAAATTCCAAACACCAGCAAAAAGAGTTGCTCTAACAATTTCCCATTAATAAAAATGATGGGCTTTTGTTGAATTTACTTCATCTGATTCTTAGAAGGTTCCCCATTCCTCACAAATTCTAATTTTACAACCGATGAGTGACCATGAAATCTTCTAATTTAGTCTTGGACGAAAATGAGAGTAAGTAAAACCCTTTTCTCATCCTCATCCTCTCTGTTTCTATTTGTCTCCATCACATAAAAACTCCGAAATATCTATCCAATTACATGTCAACAAACAAAATATAATATCATTTCTAACGCCCAAGGGGAATTAAATAAATAGAAATTCCTTTGCCTTTTATTTTGAAAACAAAAAGGAAAAGATTCAACTTAGGGATGGCAATGAGCCAGGTCTAGGTCGAGACAGAGTATAAGAAATATTCAAGAACTGGAACTGAATTGCTTCTCAAGACAATCAAGTCTGATCCAACAAATTTGCTGAAAATATTATACATTTAATATGTATATATATCCACATACATATTTATACATTTAATATATTATATATATGGCTTAGATCGGGTCTAAACTGATTCGGAAGTGGATAGAACCAATTTCAAACCGATAATAACCAGGACAATAGCTTAGAAACTGAAACCGAACCATTAATTCATATCGTAAAACCACAACCGGTCCAATCAATTTGAATCCATTGGATCCATCGAATCAAACTCGATACATTAACAGCCCTATTTCAGCTATTAGCCCTTTTAGAAAAAAACGATAGGAGAGTGAGATGAACAATTTGGAAAAATAGTGTCCCAGTTCATAAAAATATAGATCTTTGTGGTCATCTTGAACTTTATTTTATCGTTAAGGATCTTATTAGGGTACCCATCTTATTCTTAAACGGGCCGGGGCCAAAGTGTTGGAAATGGAAGTTTAGGGGTCAAAGCTCTTTTCGGTGCCAATGTCTTTTTGGTATCATAGATGGATACTCAATTGTCGTTTATATGGATTCAGTCTGGTGAAAGTGTCGTATTACAAGTGCATAAATACCTTCAAGTAATCAAGTGGAACATCTGTTAGACTCGTCAGACTGTCACATTCCGAATGCAAGTGCATCGTCAGCAAGCAAATGCAGCAGATTCCGACTCAATTTTGCACTTACCAGAGTCAGTCGGTTGAATATTTTACCAAAAAAAAATCGGTTGAGTACTATAAGGTCAGATCACATTGGCGTCCCATAGAGCGCGCCTAACAGACGCCCCACAGTACATCTAAACCGTGGATTGGGAACATCTTATCTTATAAGCTCGCATATAAGATGCTTTTGACGTGGCGCCATTTCTGTGTTTCACTATTTCTTCGATTCCAAACGGCAAAGTTGCAAACGCACTGGCCAGAGGATACACGACCTTAGGCCAATGGATCCGGTTTCATACCCGATGTGATTTCATGGGATCATGTTCCACACGAATACACGACCTTAGGCCGAAGTTTCCCAAAGAAGTGGGAAAAGACTATTGGAGAGTCGTGCTGATGCCACGTGAACCGGAGAGGATCTTACGCCACCCCTGGTCAGGTCATCGTCCGCCAGACCCGGTTCATGGATTGGACTATTATAGACTGAACCGGCTCGTAAAAAGTCACCTCCACAAAGGAAAAAGAACAAAAAAAAAAAAATCCGGCATCCAGAGTTCAGGACGGCGACCAGACGGAGAGAGAGAGGGGGCGGAATTTTCACGGCCCTCTCTGTCTCCGATCGCTCATCTCTGCAGTGCCCTGGAATTTTAGAGACATTATGCTTCTTATGTTATCTTTTTCTAGCTTTCTCTTTCTCTCTTTCAACAATCGTTCGCAGAGATCTAGAGTTTGATGAGACGGTTGAATGCTCCAACTCCTGCAGTCCAAACACGACAGAAGATGGATTCGTTAAAGCTCCAGTTTCGGCCCAACGCTCCTAGGTCCAACAACTTCTTCTCCCGAATTTCTTCAACAAGCATGAAACGCACACGACATCTCTCGGTCTTCGTTGCCGTCGTACTGGCCGCCGCCGTGTTCTGTTTTTTGTTCAACATCGTCAGAGGTTCCTTAAATTCGCCGTTTTCGAAGAGAAAATTTTCGATTATTATCGACGGTGGGAGCACAGGCACTCGAATTCACGTGTTTAGGTTCTCTATCAACGAGAAAGGAATGCCGCTTTTTTCTTTTGGGAAGGATGGATTGGTGTCGATGAGGGTAAATCCAGGTTTATCTTCGTTCTCGGCGAACCCGAAAGATGCCGGTAATTCTCTGTTGGGGCTTTTGGACTTTGCCAAGCAGAGAGTTCCAAAGGATTATTGGGAAGAGAGTGAAATTAGGCTCATGGCAACTGCGGGTTTGCGGAGGCTTGATTTGGATGTTCAGGAGCGGATATTGGACTCCTGCAGGAAGATTCTTCGGCGCTCGGGTTTTAAGTTTCAAGATGACTGGGCTTCTGTTATTACAGGTAGAGGTTTTGGTTTTCGATCTCACTTCAATTTCATACAATCGAGGTTTTTTCCCAGCTTTTACCTTGTGCTAGCCATCCTGTAAGGCTTTATTGTTTTTGAGTGTATTACCAATACAGCACGAGTTGGAATTTACACAAAGCAACCTTCACTCGGTCCATCATTCTGTTTCTGAACCTTCCTCGCTTTGTGCAGGGTCCTATAAATGCCTGTAAACGGTAGAACTTGCTGAGAGATAAAAGCTCCTTGTCTTAATTAGTTGCAAAATTTTTACCCTCATTAATGTTTCTGAGATGATAAACCTTTTTCACTCATCAGGAGAGAAAGAAATTATATAAGCAGAAGAAAAAGACTAATATTCTCTTGCTTAATCAGGTGAATAAGTGTAATTTTGGTTGGTTGGCTAGTTTGGACTTGTTTGTGAGATCTACTTTTAAATGCTTGAATTCCCTGTCCTTAGTTTATCTACAAGCCAACCAAGTAACGGCTTCGCCTTGGGACAGCTTGAAAATTGAGCTAGGGATAATGGCTTCCGTCAGTTGTTTAAATACAACACATATTACAGTGAGACTTGTCTTTATGTTTTGCTCTTCTTAAAATGTTCTGTATTTTTCATTTAAAAAATTTTGAAACTTTTCAAATGCCTTGCGGAAGTGTTCAAGTGCAACTTTTCCATTTCTTGTATGTTACTTCAGACAAAAAGATGTTGAAGGTTTGCTTATATCATAGTCAAATCCATGTGGTGTGTGGTAACTGGCTTGTTTTGTGATGATGGGAAGTGCTGCAATTTGCACTTGATAACCTGTGGAAGCTCTGTGTTATCATCACTGGGTTTGTGATTTATTGGTAGATCCTTAATCTACATTCTAGAAACCTAATGTCAATAATTCATCTTTTATAGGTTCTGATGAAGGAATATATGCTTGGGTTGCGGCAAACTATGCCCTTGGCAGTCTTGGAGGTGATCCTCAGAAAACAACTGGAATAATTGAACTTGGTGGGGCTTCTGCTCAGGTTCAGTTTCCTTTTCTTTACTCTAGTGGTTTTCTTTGTCAAGATTTTGAATAATCATATTTAATATGAGTATTTCAACTTAGTGAAGCCTTGTCCCAACCATTTGGGGTTGGCCAGAGAACCTGTTTTATCTTTCAACTCTTTCAAGGTCCATTTTTTCTGTTAAATTGTGAACCCTCTTTCTTTTTCATACAGTTTTGAAAAAAGTTTCAAATACCTCCCTTTTGCTATCTTTTCAGTAATGAAGATGTTGAGTTACCAAAATGCCCTTTGCACTGTTAAGGCATTACCATATACAATTTAAAATACCAACTTTACCTTTTTCTCACTCTACCTAACAACTTTCAGAAGAGTAAATATTCTTTATTCTCTTCTCTTCTCAGACAGAGTAAGGTAAAAGGGCTTAAGTCAAATAAAGAGAAGCAAATCTATTTTCTTTGGGGTATTTTAGTAAATGTTTTAAATGAAGTTGGTCAAGGGTAAACCTTGTATTTTAAAAAACTCAAAGTATAATATCGGTGTTTTCTGTTTGGAAACCTAATGTAAGGGAGCTATTTGTAAGTGTTTTCTCAAATGAATTGTGAGAAAATAAAAGGTTTAAACATAATGATAAAAAAGAAAAGGTTTGTGCTCTCTGGAATTTACATATAGTTACTTACATATTCTACTTCTGGTTTTTCTTACAAGAGTTGTTGCATCTGCTTTTTTTTTGGTACATCAAATTTAGGAAGGAAGAGATGCTGAATTGTGATTTTTAATGATTGAAGTACCTTAATTTCAGGTCACATTTGCTTCAAGTGAAACTCTGCCTCCTGAGTTCTCACACACTCTTAAGTTTGGGAAGTTCACCTACAATCTCTATAGCCACAGCTTGCTTCATTTTGGCCAGGTAATTATTGTGTAAACCTATTATTTTTCTTGTACTTGTACCTTGTCAAATTTGAATATCTTATATGTGTCACTCATGCTTAATGTAAGAAAAATGCCATGGAGATCATCCATATGCATGACCTGCTCCTTGACTTTCATGTATACACAATTTCTTTTAGAGGAGCTTATAGGGTTTCCATTAATTGTTAATCCATGCCTATACTCTGAATCTTTATTCCCATGATAAAGGTTATCACTTTTGTTTTGAATATTTTAGCAAATTTGGAGGCCATGTATGAAGTGCATTATGCCAAAGGATCAAATCATTCTTGTAGCTTATCAAAAGATTCAGGAAAACAACATTTAGAATATTCCTACCCAAGGTTCAAAATATCGATACACTCCAATAGGCTGGAATGTGCATGTTGGGGGTTTTAATCAACATGCTCTACATTCTTTTTAGTTTTTTTTCAAAGTTTTACAGGGGGTCGGTCTTACCAAGGCCTACCCCCTGGTTATCTTAAGATATTATATTTCACGTATTGGACAGGGTGGATATGACATGATACAATATGCTCGATATGCCCCAATACATGACAAAATCTTGATCCTTGGTCCTACGATTTGTAAATACCCAACCCTTTGCATGTGCACCACATGTTTCATATGTAAGGTAGGTTGTTCATGATGGTGTTGATAATTTTAGTGTATGGTTTATGAAGTATCTGTTGTAAAACTATTGTGAAAGTGGTATTTATCAAAAAAAGGAAAAAAAACTATTGTGAAAGTGTTTTCTGCTTATGCAAATGATGTTGGGACAGTGGTTTTTGATGCTATTTTGTTCTTCCAGCCATGCAACTTTTCTCCTTTCTTCGATCAATTTTAATTACTACATAAGTCCTCTACTTCTAATTGCATTAGATTTCCTTACTTAGTTACTTTATGGAGGGATCTCTTTGAAGTTTATCTATATGAAATCCTCTAATTTTTTCTCATACTTCACCCATTATTTTATTACAGGTATTTGCATCTCTTGTTTTCTGTTTTGAGGTTCAAATGGATACGTAAAGAAGTTCCTAACACATTTTTCTTTTGCAGAATGTTGCATACGAATCATTGCAGGAGTCGCTTATTTCAAAAAATTGGAAACTGTGTAAGTGGTTATGCATTTATTAATCCAAACATCTTGTTCGTTTTGGATTTAATTGTAAAGTAAGGTCGTCATCATCATCATCCAAGCCTTTATCCCAAATTCCCAACTATATGGGGTCAGCTACATGAATCCTGTATGAAACTCATTTATCATCCATGGATGTTGGTTCATTTGATTAATTCTTCTAGATTTTGGATATGCTAGCATGTTCTGAATGGCCTTGATCATATGGCTTTATGGTTATCTCTAGTTTGATCCCTTGACTGGGGTTTAATCATTTATTTTGTTAAAACCACAAGCATTACCACACTACACAGTGCTATCAAGTGCTGATTGATCTATTGCTTTCTCAGTCAAACTCAGCCTACTAAGAATTTTAGTTACCAAATACCAAGAAGCTTCATCTTAATTGTTGAATAGTACCTCAAATTATGGGGATTGTTATTTAAAAAAAGGTGCAGTTTTAGGACCCGCTGTAAGATTTATATGTTAAGATGTTTGGTATGTTTTATAATGAAATTTGATAGATGAAGCAGTTTTAAATTTTCAATTATTGGGGATAAAGTTCATGGTCTAAATACATCTATATCATTTTTTTCATGAAAACCATAAGTGGCACGGTATCCATTTAGTTACTAGGGAAATTGTCCAAGAAAAAGGCACTTATAATCTATCCATATTGGATGATGCTGTGGTTGTTCTTTCTGTCAGTTTTTGTTTGGTAGAGCGTGCTACGGAAACCAAAATCCTAGACATCTGCCAAGTACATAATTGATTCATTTGTTATAGTGTTGTATTTTTTTGTTGCCTAGCTTTTGGATATTTTTCATACAAAGGTAATTTGAATGTTGAGTTTCCAGTTAGTTGTGTACAGAGGGCAATATGTGTTTGACCTTCTGGTGCTTAATTTTGGTTATGAATGGTCTGAAATCTCCTACATGTATATGACGGTTCAGATTCTAGAATTGTTTACTATCAGTTTAATTTTTGAAAATATACAGATGACAAAGTCACAATGAAGAGTCAAAAAATCTGTAAATAACTAACAGTACAGATAACAAAGTCATCATGAAGACCAAAAAAAGCTGTAAATACCTAAAAGCATAGATAATCCATGTGGAATTTCTAAGCATGCAGATAAACATCCTGTTTTGACCTTTTAGTTCTTATTGGACTTTAGTAGGACAAAGAAGCACTAACTATTTAGAAACCTATATCAAACGAAGAAAATTAAAAAAAAAAAGAAAAAGAACCAAAGAAGGAAAGAAAAAGAAGAAATATTTTAGTAGTAGTAGTAATTATGCACATTGGAACTGGTGCTTTATCATCTAGAGCAAATTTATAGAAAAAGAATATGGATATGCTGTTGGTTTAGGACCACTAGAACTTGATCATAAACCTGTTGTAGGGAAATTTAGGATTGGCATACAGATCTAAAAAGGGATTGACTGCACAAAAGTTTATGAGTTGTGGAAAATATTGTTGGGTAAAAAGATGTATTAGTAGATTTATCTTGTCTGATACCTTATATTGGCAGTATATCTGATGTAATATTCTTGGAAGTGGATGCCAAGTGGAAAAGGCTGAAACTCTGGGGTCATTGTTCAACCATTTACTAGTCACTTTCATTCTGTGGAATAGGTGTCTGGGTTATGGTGGGACTAGGAAATGTAAAAGAAATTGATCCTTCTCCCTTTAGATCAATATTTTACATTCCATAGATTTCTTATGGTTTTCTGTTCTGAAGTTTCTTAACTTGTTAACAAAAAAAGAATTGCGATACAATAAGAAATTTCTTTTCATTTACCATACATGTATTGCCACTGGTTGTAGAAAGAGTTGGAAATTTCAAATTTTGATCTCCTTTATCACTAATGCAGCCGCAGAATCTGTTCAGGAGGCAATATCTATAGATCCATGCTCTCCTAAAGGGTATTCATATGGACTGCAGTCATGGAGCCTTGCACCTGGAATGCTGGATGGGAAGAACAAATTCCTTCCCACTCGTCATGCTAGTGGTAACTTCTCAGAATGTAGATCTGCTGCATTTATGCTGTTGCAGAAAGGAAAAGGTTGCAAATACTTTCTGAAATCTTCTACTACTATACTGTAATGAACCAAATACTCTTTGTTTTTCAAGAGTTCCTCTGTTTTGACAAGCCTCTTTCAAATGGTATGCAGAGAAATGCTCCTACCGGCACTGTTACATAGGGTCAACCTTCATACCGAGGCTGCAAGGAAAATTCTTGGCCACAGAGAACTTCTTTTATACGTCAAAGGTTTTATGAACTCTATTATTTGCTATTTTGATCTCTTTAACAGTAACAAAGATTGCATTAAGATAAAAAATGTGCTGTAGTTCCCCTAAGTAGGCTTTGGGTGTAGCTTGGGTGCATTAGGAAAGAGAATGAAGCTAATATATTGGTGGTTTTCAGTAGTGAGAGTTTGGGATTGATTCCTAAGGAATCATTGGTAAGGGATGATAGGGTTAATGTGGCAGCGCCTGCAGAAGGGCAAGGGCCAAGGGGTGTTGAAAAGTTATTATTTGGTGTTTCTTTCATGTTCAGTCCATATTACCAGAGTTTTCTCTAGATTGATGAGTGGACTTTGTGGTGCTGGTCTCTGTAGAAGTTTCAAAAGGGTTTACAGAAGAAGGTATAGTAAAGGTTAGCTTTGTGCAGGTGGATCCTCGTTCGAATGTTTGATTACAGGACGTAGGACAATATTGGCTTGAGGGTGGTTTTTCAAGAAGGTTGTTGGGGATGATAATAGTAATGGACGTAATAAGGAGCAACCACCTTCAACAATTGGTACAGTAAATAATTGAAGTTCGGAAGATAAGAGTCCCAGTGGTGTGGAGGTGAGCATCATTCAGACAAAGAAACATGATTCTAATTCAATTTTCAAGCATTCAGGGGCAATTATAGGTAATATGGTCGTGAAAAAAGTGGAAATGAAAGTGTGTCAGAGTCGGAAGAAGAAAACACTATAGATGATGAAGAGGTTGATGAATATGTTTCATTTGATAAAAGCTTTCATGCTCACAAGAAAGATGTGATATAAATTTGGTGGTTGAAAAAGAAGTTGAAATTAAAAAAAAAAAAAAACTGGGTTTGTTCTTTTTAGGGGGTCAAGACATTACCAGAAAGTTATCTGCAGCTTTAAAAATAATAAAAAAAAGTTTTTTGGAGCTTGGAAGAGAATTCTAAAGGTCATGGTAGAAATATACTGGAGTAAGCATGTGGGTGTATGTAGGGGTGTCAATTGGACCGGATATGGTCCAATCTGATCCGGTCCAATATGAGTCCATTACAAATGGATCACAAAACCATGTCCTATCCAATCCAATGAATACTTTGGACCATTTTGGACCGGTCCAATTCAGTGTCTGGATTGTCCAATCTGTTAAAATTGCTTTTAATTTAGATTTATTTCAATCCAAACCTAGTCCATTGACACCTGTATTCTTATTTTCTGCCAATGGACCGGATATCTGTTCAATCTGACCCAATCCAATATAAATCCATTATAGGTGGACCAGGTCCAATCCGATCCAATAAATACTTTGGACCATTAAGTCTGGACTGGTCCAATTAAATGTCTTGTTGGTCTGTCCAATCCATCCAAATTGATTTTGATTTGGATGGGGTCCAACCCAAAACAGGTCCATTGACACCCCTAGGTGTATGTTGAGATTCAAGGTTGAGCTATAAATAGATGTGGCAGTTTGGACCTCAAGGTGGGTCAGTTGCTATTTGAACATCTGAGAAAAGCTGAGGTTGAGGGTATATAGTTGATTTTGAGCTTGGAGGGCAAATATTATTTCCTAATTGTTATGGCTGATTAGGTTGAAGTTTATTTTGGGGGCATGGTACGGTAGAATTGGGTTGTTGAATTTTGTAATGGGGTGTATTTACCCATAAGTGCTGGTTTGTAAGCAAAGGGTTTAGAGAGCCCAAAGCCCAAAACTAGTGACTGAGCTACCTGAGCAGGTTTTCAGTTACTGACCACTGGTTAGATTGTCTTTTCTTATATAAAGTTCAAAAAAATAAATTTCATATATGGAGTTTAAATGTAGAGGCCATTGCTTGGTGCAATGGTAAAATAGTGGACTTACAAAGGACTGCTTGGTGCAAAAAATGTCAAAAAGCTAGGTTCATATCCTGTCCACCCCTCCCAAGGCCCTGTATAATTGGAACCAACAGTGGGTAAATTTTCTATGGCCCATAGGGAGTTTAAACTTAATAGAATTAACCTATTGATGCTTTTTAAAAATCTCATGATTCTTGTTAGAAAAATATGGCATTGTTTTTTGACTTGGTTTCATGATTTGTAAGCCTTCATTTCTTTATGTTTTTGCTTGGCAGTTCTTTGGACTGGCCCCAACAGCATCTCTCTCTGATTTGATGTTGGCTGGGCAACAATTTTGTGAAGATGATTGGTCAAATCTCAAAAAGAAATATGGTGCTCTTGCTGAGAATGATTTGCAACGGTATTGTTTCTCTTCAGCATACATTGTGGCGCTATTACATGACAGTCTTGGAATTTCTTTGGATGATAAAAGGTACTCCATTTTCTACTTTCTAGCATCCCCTCCCAAGATCCTTTTGTATGATTATAGAGATGGTTTATTTAATTAGGAACTATGTTCAAACTTGTCAGTTTGAACAATGGTAATTATCTAGAAGCCATCTGGCCTTCCCTGGCAATTGGTCTATTGAGTAGGAAAAATGTTTGATGTTATTTCATAAACCATGGCTAGCAAGAGCATGCAACTATGTTCAAACCTGTCAGTTTGAACAATGGTAATTATCTAGAAGTCATCTGGCCTTCCCTGGCAATTGGTCTATTGAGTAGGAAAAATGTTTGATGTTATTTCATAAACCATGGCCAGCAAGAGCATGCAACTATGTTCAAACCTGTCAGTTTGAACAATGGTAATTATCTAGAAATCATCTGGCCTTCCCTGTCAATTGGTCTATTGAGTAGGAAAAATGTTTGATGTTATTTCATAAACCATGGCTAGCAAGAGCATGCTTGCTATCCATAAAAGAATGCATTGACAATGCCCTTTCAGGACTCAAGTTCCAACAAAGCCCAAAAAACCAATATAAGGTGTTGTTTTTCTTTGGGGCGGAAATCTAAAATAGAGGAGTAATAACTACAACTTGGCAACACCAATTTGGTCCTGGATTTACTCTCTTAACCAAGTCCAATCACCTCGAGTTCTTTATTTGTGTATAGGCGTTTCCTATACACAACTAATCTGTATTCCACATAAGTCTTGCTCTTGGATTAATTGTTTTAAGGAGTTGATCTTTTTTTTTTCGTTTGGGGGGGGGGGGTTAAGGAGTTGACGCTAGGGAGAATATCTGAAGGGTTTATCTAGGCTGCAGTTTCAGTGCAATATCAGTTCTTTTAATCCAAATTTCTGTTGAACAGGATTGGATTTACAAATCAGGTGGGGGACATCCCACTCGACTGGGCTTTGGGAACTTTCATCTTGCAGAATACAGCTAACCTAGACGTAGAACTCTCTGATTGGATTGCTACCATTGCACGTGATGATTCATCCGCATTGATCTCCCTGTTCTTTGTCTTAAGCATATTGATTTTTACAGCATGGTCCCTGTCAAGGTGGCGAAAACCCCAATTAAAAACAATCTATGATCTGGAAAAAGGACGTTATATCGTGATGCGTGTAAACAGATGATTGCCTGCTTGAAGAGCTCACCACCATTGCTCTTGGGTTTTGTAGATGAGAGGAAGAAAGCATGTAACTTTATCACTTCAATTAGTATACTCGTCTCATATTTTGTAATTTGTACCCACTGTTACATTTTAGAAATTATCATGTTAACGAGGCACCTTTGCTTCAAAATTCAAATGGTATACTCATATTCGTCTCTCCTTCACGTTTTTGTGGGCACTGAAATGACTGAACTAAATCAACTAATAGCAATTCTGTAAGGAATTTGAATCCAATATTATTTTTGGATGACCCAAATTCTATTCGTTTATACATGAATCTTAAATGGAATCAATATGATCCGATCAGATTATATTTATGGGTTCGACTATGATACCAGAAAAACTTTTAACCAATCAGGGCACCGTTGTCAATTTCACCTACGGGGAGGGAGTGGTTGATTGGTCCAAAGCATGGTTTTTAAAACCGAACCAGTCAGGGCACCGTTTTCCGGTTCGGTGGTTCAAACATCTGGGTTGAGCGGTTTGACCTGTGATGTCATAAATAAATAAAAAAATAAAAAATAACATAGAAATTTAAATAAAATACAAAAAATACACAGAAAAATATAGGAAAAAGAACAATATATGAAACAAGAAAAATATCTAAATATAAAAATAATAAAATACAGAAAAAAATCCAAAAAATATGGAGCACCTGTTTTTTTGAGAAGAAAAAAGCATATCAGTTCAGAAAAAAATTATCTGAACATATTTTGAGAAGAAAAACATAAATTTCATATCAAAACATATTTTTTGAAGAAAAAAAAAGAAAGAAAATTGATTGATTAAGTTGAATCAAGAGTTCCCTCATCAATCAGTAAGGATTAAGGAGTTAAGTGTTCCCTTTAGAGTCATTTTCTTTCAATCTCAAGTCTCTAGAAATCCTACCAAAGAAAAAAATCTCTAGAAAAATTAATTCATGCTTACTAAACAAGCATATATATATATATATAGGGTTAATGATAACAAATTATACCATTCTAGCAAGTCCAAAGAATTCAAAAAATCAATTAAATCACAAAAAAAAAACCAGTAAAAAAATTATACCTTTAGGGATTCGCCACCGGTGGGCTCGGGTAGTCTGCTGCTGCAAGTCGCCACTGCAAGTTCGTCGGTAGCCGTTGGTGTGTGTCGTTGCTGGATGCCAAAGTTGATGGCCGCCACAGGTGGTGGGGTGTGAGGGTTGAGACTTGAGAGGATTGAGGAGTGAGGAGGGAACTTGGGAACCCTAAAGGCTAAACCGAATAAGGGACTTGGGATTGGGATTCGAAAATCGTGGGATATAATTGGCATTTTATTTTTTGTTTTTTTTTTTAATTTAAAACATTAAAAATAAAAATATTAATCTGCGAACCGTTGCCCGAGTCGAACGGTTTAGCGGTCCGACTGTCCGGGTCAACGGTTTTTTGACTTTTCAATGTTTTTTTTTTCAATTTTCTGGTTTCTAGTAAAACCAGACCCGAATAGCTGACTGGTAACCAGTTTTTCCGGTCCAACCGTCCTCTTTAGGGGCTGCAAATGGATCATGTTAAATTGGATACTGGTATATTCAAATTTGATTTGTTTATAATTGAGTTCGAATTGGATTGTATCCATTGGATATTTACCGGATTTGAATTGAATTTTGGTTATAACCAGATATTAAATAATATAGATAAATTAAATTAAAAATATTATTTATTATTAATAAAATAAATTAAAAGCAACTTTAATATTATATATATATACATTAAAGTAGAAGTATGCCACGTCATGACCTCAGCTTTCTCCGTTATCTCAGTGAAGAACTCTCAGCCCCTCTCATTTCAGCCTTTCTTGCTCCCTCATGAAGCCACCTCATCACTCTCTTCTCCCTCTCTCATTTTGACATCTCAACAGCCCAGCCCAAGTCATAGAATTGCCATGAAACATGGCAATCTCCAAAATTTTTGCCAAAAAAATAGCAACTTATTCTGTTACGATTCACCATTGAGACATAAGAGAAATCTCTAATGAATCCTATCCTTTTCTAACTCTTCTTGCCTTCCCATCTTCCTTCTCACTGTTCTTCACTTTATTCACGTTTCACTATCCTTCTCTAACTCTTCGTGCCTTCTCGTCTTCCCTCTGTTCTTCACCATTTTGTCTACAAGTTTGTGTTTTTTCTCTCTTCAATAGAAACCGAAGCCGGAGACCTATTTGGATTTATTTGGAACGGGCATGGAAGCACCACCACCGAGTTGAAAAACAAAACCCAGTTAATTACAGGTGGGTTATGGTTCGGGGAACTGGGAAGGAGAGGGTTAAGTACTCCAACGGGATCGGGAAGGAGATGGGAAACAGGTTCATAATGTTTCAAAAAATATGATGAGAAGGTTAACACGTGATGCATATAATAGTGTCCATTGGTTATCACCCGAGAGGAGACCACGAACATGCAGAGAACAAGTGGTAGCCTTTCATTGAGATACAACATAGTCTACTGTTTGATTTGGATCCAGTCATATAAAATCAAATGAAATATGATTATTGAGAATTTGAATCTGAATTCAATCCGAATTCCAATCAGATCAGATTCTCAGATCATCTTCGTATTTAGTCCAAGTCTGCTTTGTTGTATTGGAATTTGCTAAGCGCATGGCTGTGTATAACGGGCTATATATGTAGTCAATTATGAGTAAACATGCCCATGTGTACAGAATATTAGCCTTGAGTAGTTCAGTCATGTAACTATATAACATTTTCCAACATTTGAAAGCATCATCTTACAATGAATTGAATACTGATCATCTGTGTGTGTTTTCTAATGGCAATGTGCTAAATGATGAGTTAGTTAATAATAAGGTATTTAAGAAAAATGCTAGCCAAGTCTGTTGTTGAGACTTGAGGTCCATAGTGAGTGATGAACCTCCCTATTTGATATTAGGGGTTTTTATTGTTCAGTCTACCTTAGAAATTTGAGCCCCACCGTATTTGACCGTGGATCGATTCCAAATTCACGGGCAGGATGCGATTTATAGGGAGATACTAGTATACTAGGAGGGGCTATAATTTTAGATTTCTGAGGTGGAATACAGTATAGCTACTTATATTCATGTGACCTGGGCGGAATCAATTCCTGCTTAAATGTGTGGTCATTCTGATGGAAAATCCTAGCATTCAGGTTGCTCCCATTTAGCTAAAAGAAATGAAGACAAATTTGAAAATTACAATCATTTTTCTTTTTCATGAGGTCAAGGCAAACGCCACAGCTAAAGGAAAATAGAATGTCCAGCCATATACATACCCATGTCTATGTCTCAGAAGAAACCTCAGGAAGTTAGTCTGGAGGTCTTTTCATGCATCTTGCTACTAAATATCCTGTTTCATTACTTGTTAATTAGTTGTTACAAAACCAAGTTCTATATAAGATATCGTTTCCTTAGAAAACTATCTGTGTTAGAGAATAAAATTTATTTAAAGATCTCACTTAACAGCTTAAGCTTTTAAGTTTAATGGTTCTTTGACATGATATCAGAGCCACTTTGACCAAGTGATCGTACCTATTAAAATATAGAAGCGAGATGATCTATATCATCCTAGTTGAAAGTTTAATTAGTTGATGAGTATATTGATGAAACCTAATTGAACAGGAAAATGTTAAAGAAAAAGAAGAAGAAGAAGAAGCAGCTAGCATATATATAAATTGGATTAAGACGAACACAATGAACTGAAAGAATCGAGACAAAACAGATAATTGATTATAGCTATATAGCTAGATTTGAGCCATCTTATGATGCAATGAAGATTGCCGATTGCAATGAAGAGGAGGAATGAGTATTTTAGCTTTAGTAATTCCTTAATTAGTTGCAGCAATGAAATGGGCTGTTTGGACCTGATACAAAGGAATTAATGCTGTACATGTTCATGACTTCATTTCACACCCATCCCCTCCTTGACCCCAAGAAATTTCTGAAACACCCACCATAAACGTAAAAGCATCTCTTTCCCTCCAGTCTTCGAATATGATCGCGTCACATCATCTAAGAACTTGAGGGAGTCCAACAGAAGTAGCCAATTAGGGCGTTGCAGCTGATCAATCTATAAACAATCACACGCTGGCCTCTGTAATTTTGGGATTCCGTTTCAAAGACACCCCGGCGGCCCGGCCTGATCAATATTTTTGTGGATGAAGTGAGAACCAGGGTTGCCCTATCATGATTCATGAATGACGCGGTTGGAAATTTACCAGACTCGTACACAGCCCATCAGGCTTGGCCAACAAATGTAAAAAATTTCAGTCGCAATTTCTTGGGGCTGGCCAGACAGAACCTGTAGGCTGTAGCTGGGTTGTTTGTGCCCATCACTGGATGTGTCCCAGTTTTGACATCAAGTGGACCAGAAATCATCAACATTTATCTCGTCATCCCGATATTTTATGTGGCCAACGTAGTCCTAGTTTGCACTCTTACAAAAGTTGGTCACGAACACTTGAGCATGAGACACGTTGGCAAATTGAGTGGACCCCAGACTCGCATTCTAGGGCCCCGGACCCTAGATACTCTCAATTTATAATGGTATATCTTTTCATTACACGCTCTCTTTCTATCTTTCTCTATTTTGTTTTGTTGAGGAGAAACTGACTGAAGCATGGCGGCTGCGTCCGAGCGCTTCTCCATCAGGTAACAGAAGATGATTTTGTTAAGAATTCCGGTTTCAGTTTTCAATCACTTTGGTTCTGTGGCCTAATTAAGCTCGTGATTTGGCGTTTCAGGGAATATGTTTTGAATAGGAGAAAAGTTGACGTTGCGAAATGTTGGCCGTTTGGTAGTAGTGGAGACGGAGAGCAGGAGAAGACATCAGAAGAGATAGATAAGCTGCTTCCGCCGTTAACGTACCGGAAATATCGTTGGTGGTTAGAGGAACTGGAGGTGATAAGATCTCAAGAAGTTGTCGAGGACAACACGAAGATTATAGATGAAACCGGGAAAACGGTTTCTGGTGTTGAAAGCAGCGGCCTTTTGTCCCAAAATCTGGGTTTTGGCGCTGGAAATATGGCTTCGGGAGTTTATGGCAATCAAATGTGGCTGATGCATCCGGTTTCAGACATCTGGGTGGACTTGCCTATCGAGAGTTCTCTGATGCAGCGGAGTAAATATCCAATGAAGATGGAAATGGAAGCTGGGTCGGAGGGAGTGGATAATCC